CCTCAACCTTAAACCCTCAACCTTAAACCCCCTAGAGCCTTCTGGCCCAGGACACGGGTATTGCCCGGACGACCGGCGGCGGCACAGCAACTTGGCCGGCTGGGTGCCCGTGGCTCGGTTCTCCCCTAAAGCCGTTTAGGGTTCAGAGTTTAGGGTTTAGGGTTTAGGGTTCAGGGTTTACGGTTTAGGGTTTAGGGCTTCAGGATAAAACTTTCAATCCTAAGATCCTCAGCTCTAAATCCCTCAACCCTTAAAGCCCTAACCCGAACTCTAGACCCCTAAACCCCAAAATCCTCAGAAGTCCCACGCCTCTAAACCTTGAGCCCTTTAAACACCCAACAAGCCTTAAACTCCCGTGGTTTAGGGTTTAGGGGTTTAGGGTTTAGGGATTCTTCTTATCTTGTTTATATTCCCTAAAGCTTTCCTCTTTCTCTCTCTCTCTCTCTCTCACAGGCATTCGAAACTTCAAGCCTGGCTATATCCCCGAAACCCTACAACCCAACACCTCGAACACCCTAAAAAAAGGTGCCTAATTAAAGGCCTATACTGGTTTTTCGGGGTTCCTTGTTGTAGTTATAGTTATTGAGGGCCCTACATTAGAGTCTTACAAGTCTTTCATGATTCATAAGCCCTCAACCTTAGATCCCCCTTACTTCAATTTTTTTTATTGTTTAGGGTTTAGGGTTTAACCCTTCAAAGCCCTCAGGCCTAAACCCCTAAAGCCTTGTAAACCCTAGACCCTCGTAAACCCTAAACCCTAAACCCAGTGCCCCTAAGCCCTTATGAGCCCTAACCCCTTCATCCTTAAAAAAACACCCGAAACCCTAACCCCAAATCCTAAACTGAAGCCCTAAAGCCTAAACCCGAGACCGAGACCCTCCTAAACTTTAAACCTAGAGCTCTAAACAGAAACCCTTTATAGTAAAGCCCAAAAAGTTGGAAGACGGATTAAGGACAATAAGTGCTGGGGATTCCTTATACATAAGTCCGAAGGATTGAGGCTATTGGGTTACCAACCCTAAACCCTAAACCCTAAACCCTAAACCCCTAAACCCCTAAACCCCTAAACCCCTAAACCCTAAACCCTACTTTGTTATTTCTTTTGTTTCTCTTGCAGGCCATCCTCGGGGGGGTTTTGGGCGCTGCCGGTTTGGTCCTCGCTCCGGTTTCAGGCACCCGCATAGACCGGGGGGAGGGTTTGGGGTTAAGGGTTCAGGGTTTTGTGTGTATTCTTGGTATAGCGCGTCTAGGTTTTTTTGGTCCACGCTGTTTTTGGGTGACGTGTTTTTTAGGGTGGGTTTAATGGTTTTGGTTTAAGGCTTTTAGAGTTTTGGGGGTGTTTTTTCTTTGGTTCAGGGTTAATAAAGTAGCTTTTCAGGGGTCGGAGTTTTCGGGCCTGTTGTAGTGTTTAGGGTTTGGCGGATTTGTTCCTCATACTTTTCAAGACATCACCAAAGAATCCTCAAGACAAAGAGCAGATACAAGTTGTTGTAAACCCTGAATTCCCATACTAAACCCCTGATCCCCGAACCCCTTGAACCCCCCAAAAACTCTAAAAACCCTAAAACCCTAAAGCCCAAGCCCTAAACTCTAAAACCCCTAAAACCCTAAAAACCCTAAAACCCCAAACCCTGAAAAACCCTAACTCCCTAAAACCTAAAACCCTGAAGCCCTAAAAGCCCTAAAACCCTAAAGCTCTAAACCCCTAAACACTGAGTTCCCAAACCCAAAACAACCCTAAACCCTAAACCCTAAACCCTAAACCCTAAACCCTAAACCCTAAACCCTAAACCCTAAACCCAAAACAACCCCAAGCTTTGGGAAGCCTAGGGTCCCCACACCCGCAAAGCAAAGAGGGTTTCAGGGTTTTAGGGTCTTAGGGTTTGAGGG